ACAGGAAAACCTATGAAGGGATGTAGCCAGCACATGCTATGTGAGAATCTTTGGAGAAAAGGAAACCTTATTCTTAAAAAATCTCAATAGACATGTGGAAAAACCCTAGTGGAATTACTTGGTGGCAAACAAAACAGTCAAGATTCCCTTCCCTAATGGGAAAAGTCCCCTTTTGGACATTTTTCCTTATGGCCTCGGGATCTCCTCTATAAAGAGGAGGAGATGCAAGCTGAAGGGGATGGATCTTTTGAACCCCTAGAATCTCCAAGCTGAAATCCTCAACCTTTTCCTCCAGAGAATTGAGTCCAACCCCAATTCCAATTTGAAACCGGCTCCATCTTCATCCTTCAAGGAGACCATCCCCCATTGCCTTACTATCCCATTTACATAGTGAAAAAGTTATGCAAGGGAAAAGAGTTGAATTGATTATAATTCTTTCAAATATTTTACTTAAACAAAACAAGAAGGCATGTAGTTGAACCACTTTAGCTATTATCAAACCACCACCATAAGGCAATGTTTGGTTTGAAGGAAAATGCAGGGAAAGGATGGGAAAGGTAAGGAAACCTTTACAAACCTTGTATAGGTTTTCTTGTCTTTCTCTTCCTTTCCCTACCTTTTCCTTCAAACCAAACATAGCTTGAGTATTACCATTTAGGGAAGACATTTCAGCTGCTTCTTCTTCTTCTTCTTCTTCTTTATTCTTATTATTATTATTTCTACTTAAAATAAGAGTTTTGGATTTAATAAGGTCCTGACATAAGAACTGTTCATGTGTCAGTCCATGAACATTTTACACCGAGGTTTTAAAAATCAATCCAGAAATGGAAAACGCTTTGACCACCAATTTCTCAGTCAGCAGTTCTACCATCTGAGTTGAACGCTTCAAATTGTTGATTAGTTAAATATCTTACCTTTATATTTAATAAGAAGAGACTGTTAATTAATAATTGTTGATTAGTTAAATATCTTACCTTTATATATTAATAAGAACAGACTGTTAATTAATAAAGAAAGAAAGAAAGAAAAAGATAGCAGGTAACAACAATGGTGACAGTGATGGAGATGGCAATGGGGGGTTGTTGTGACCACTCGTCTCTCTCTCTCAGATAATTTATTTTTAGTTATTTTAATATTTTGAAAAATTCATTAAACCACAAACTGTTGTCCGGATCAAACCATTCAGACGATCTAGGTCAACGGTTCACTAACCAATTCAACCATTTTTCTTTTTTTTGCAAAACAACAGGTTAAAGAAAATGGGACCGACAGACAACTGGTTTGCAGGTCAAATAATGCTTTTAGAACCATGTTTTACAATGCTTTAGGTTTGAACTATGGGCCGAGCGATAAAAGCTAAACCCGAGCCTGCCGGCCCATGAAAAAGTCACTATACTCATATATGCTTTATTTTACGGTTATTTCATGCAAAGTTGTAAGAAGCTATTGGAAAGGAGATCTGATATGTTCCACACATCTGGCGCCTCACATGTACATCCTATCATGCATTAGGAATATCTCCCGGACTAATTAATTATTATTCATGGGAGATGCTTCTAATGCACGGTAGATGTACATGTGAGGCGTCCATTTGTGAGGAATAGATCCCGTTTCGTTGGAAAGATGTAAGGACGGACTTGCAGGCATCCTTTCAGCAAGGCTCCTTTCTTCTCATGTTGAAGTAGACTCCGGATCTCCTGCCTACGAGAATTCTGCCTACATTTACCCATAAGGCAACAACACACTATTCCAATGAATTGGGAACATCTCTCCCTACATAAACACTATGTAGGAGGCTCCATGTGTAGCTGCGATAGTGTGTGGGTTGGCATGGGTAGAGTTTGTGTGGTCAGGAGATCCGGACTCGTTGAAGTGAACATGTCAGAAATTGATTGTCAACTACAATTGTACAGCCACATCAAGCTTCCTGAATGTTTCTCCCATGGTTTTTGAACCATTGTTGATCCAGACGGTCGGACTGTACTATTCGGCCCGGGAACCGTCCAAGCAATTGATTTTGTTTTACCCCAAACCGGTCCCTGGCCAAAAACCGTTGAATCAATCAACGATCCATTGACCTGGACGGTTGAACCATCAAACCATTGGCCCATTTAACGATTTATGACTATTTTTTATTTTTAATCATTTTTTTATTTTTTGTCAAAATGGACTGTCCATTTGAACCAGATGGTTGAACCATTGACCCAAAAACCAATGACCAGAATGGTTCCAGATCGTTCTTTAAAACCATGGTTTCTTCACTTTTTTAATGCAATGAAGATAGGGACCGGGGTTCACTTCTCCACTAAACATAAACACAAAGTCTGAATTAGGGGTGGCAATTTTACCCACAAAACCGGGTCCACGATCCAACCCGCCCCGAACGGGTTGGATTTCCCCAATCACAAATGCATGCGGGTCGGGTTTAGGGAATTTTTTTCCCCGGACCGGGGACGGGGCGGGGATGGGGTCTGCCCGCAAAACTGCAGTTTGCAGTCGCACAACCTTTGCACAACCGTCGACCGCTGGGCGTCGCCGCCATCGTAGAACTGCCGACCGCTAGCCGCCGATCGCCGTAGCAGAGTTGAGGCTCAGTCTACAAGCGACCATCGTTTTCAATTCAGTGACTTCAGTCTTCAATTGCAGACTAAGAAACTAAGTCTCATTCGTCTACCGACCACCGGGCGTCGCTGCCACTGTAGAACCGCTGGCCACCTGCCGCCGACCACCCTAGCACAGCACAGAACAAACCAGTTTTTATTTTGAAAACAACTCTCACTGGTTCTTTTCCTTCATGACTTTTGTTGCTTCTTCTGTTGAAAAGTTTCCCTCTAAATGTGAATCCATTAAGAAGTGTAGAACTCCTCTTTGCAGGGATGGAGTAGTTGCTTGTTTGGTCATTGTTTTAGAAACAAGTGTTTATATGCCGAGGATTCAATTGGGTTTCTTTTTTCTCTTTTTATGTTTGTCTTTTGTGGTCTTTCTCTTCTCTTAGGAGAGAGAATGGAAGTTTGTGTCTATGTTGAATCTATCCATCTATTTGACCATTCAGTAATCTCATCAAAGGCCAAGGAAAGATGGAGTCGACGAACAAACGGAAAAGACCGAGAGCAGTGCAGTTTAGAATCTTCAGACTTCACAGAGGTAGAGAGAGAGAAAGAGAGAGTGATGAATAGACCCCATTCCAGAGAGTGATGAAGAAAATACAAGTGGTGGACCATGATCATCCTTTACATGGATGTCTTTATCCTTATAATGGGTCCACACACTAAATGCCTAGACCCCATTCCAGAGACGATGACCCGAGCTTAAATTGCCCTCAAAGATGGTTGTGATGCAGTGCATGGTCTCTCACTAAGGCTTATATGCATTCGGGAAATAAAGTTCGAATAAGTGCTTTTTCAGGCGATTTTGTAAATTTTGTTTTTTTCAAGCTCTTTTGGAAAAGTACTTGTTGCATTATTTTTAATCCATCTTGGCCCACCATGTAATTTTCAAAATAGCTATACTACCTTGTTTAAAATAAGAAATTTTCACCAAACAATCACATTTATCCTCAGAGAGCACTTCTCACACTGATCTCATCGCATGTACTTGCTGCACGTCGGAAATATCTCCTGTGCTTTTATGTTATTATTTATGGGTCAATACAAAGTCAGGATGTACCGTGGGGCATTAATGTAAACTCGTGATGTGGATATGAGGTTGGTGTGAGGAGCAGATTTCAATTCCTAATAAAATAAACATTCCGAAAATGGAGGCTTAATTTTGTTCTTTGTGGTGCGTGTAAAGTAAAATGAAAATTGAAGCAAAATTTGGTTGATAAACCAAAAACCGAACCGAACCAAACCAAATCGAATAAGCAAGTTCGGTTTGGTTAGTTCAGATATCGGTTTGGTTCAGTTTTTATTTTTTTTTTAAAAAATCGGTTTGGTTTGGTTGAGATTTTTCAATCGAACCGAACCGAAAACTGAATTAGTGATTATTTATTGAAGTATATTAAATATTTAATGTGATCTATTTAATACTTTATACTAATTAATTTTTATATTTCTAAATGACTAATTTGTCAATTTCCCATTGGGCTTTAATTGTTTGTGAATAACTTTTAATTAATAATTGTTAATTAAAATCTTAGCTAATCATTAGTTGTTCATTAATTATTAATTGTTTTTGAAAAATGCTCAATTTTCCAATTCTCCCATTGACATGGGGTTTTGGGCATAACTTTTAATTACTAATAGCTAATTAATTAAAATCAGGTTTGAGGCATTCTAACTTTAATTAATAATAATAGTTCATTAATTAAAATCATTGGGTTTTGAGGCTATTTTAACTTTTAATTAATAACACGAAGCCCAACCAAATCAAAAATCGAATCAAATTGAACCGATTTCGGTTAGGGTCGGTTCCATTCTAAACTTTAATTCGATTAGAGAAAATGGTCAAATCAAATAGTCGATTAAGTCATCGGTTCTAACCTAATTATACACCCCTAATTACCTCATTTGAAAAATGGATCCAGACCCGGGATTCCAGACAACCCGCAAAACAATGGCCAGAAGAGGCATATCCGAAAATAAATGAAAGGATAAAATTGAGGATTGTTGTTGTGTTGCCAACTTGCCATCCGTCCGAACAAAATACAGTTCATTCCAAACTGGCCCCAAGGCGACAAGTCCCCTGCTTAATTTTTTGCGAGAACCAAATCTTCCCTCCCAGATTATCCGCACACACTTGCAAACGGAATTAACTAACCACGTGCCTCCGTATCCCAACACAATTAAAGAAAAGTAGAGAACAACTCAGCCCAGCGTTTGGGTACATTCCCTCCGCCATCCATCCGACGCCTCCCCTGGCGCCACGTATCTATCACCTGGAGCCCACAGTCTATAGACTAGACCCCACTGATTAGTGGCAGCTGGAAGATTCATCCAGCGGGACCCACCAGACTTCATTGCTTGATGACGGTCAGTCAATTCAAAAAACAACCGCCGCTCCGCAAACGCGTCGGTGGCGGGTGCTGGTGATGCACATTGCACAACTTCTCTCTCTCCTCTCTCTAACAGTCCAATCTCCGACGCGCTTTTCTTCTCGTCTCCGCCCAAACTTCCAAGCGGGAAAGCACGCACACTCCCACGTTTAGAGAGAGAAAGAATCCGGAAACCGTCTGGAGAGAGAAAGAACAGACCCTCTAAAAGAAAAGCACGGCACGCAGAAAAAGAGAAAGGAAAAAGCAAAAACGAGAAATCATCAATTCATCACTCCTTGGTCCATTCATGGGCTGCTCTGTTTCGAGACCTGAAGGCGTTTTAACGAACAAAGCCACCACCGCCACAACACCACCGATCCCGCGAACGCTTTCGCTCCCTACTCCGCTCGTCCACCACCCGCCACTCAGAAAAGGCGACACCCACCACCTCGTCTCCCTCACGTCCACCACCTACGGCTCTCTCCTCCTTGACTTTGATTCTAACATCCCCAACCCTAAATTCAACGGTCAAGATCAAGATCGAGATCATTTCTCTCCTCGCTCCAAAACCCTAGCCCCAGAAGACCCGGAGACCCTATCTCCGGATTCTGTCATCAACGCCTGGGAACTCATGGCTGGCCTCGAGGACTTGGACTTGGACTACTCTGCCAATGCCAAACCTGTTTCTGCTTCTTCCGTTCGAGATTCCCCAAAGAAGCCCTACCCGTGTCCGGTCCAAGATGGGTTTGTGAAGAGAATGTGTGGTTCGTTTGAGTCGTCGAAATCTTCGCCGGCGAACAAGAACTCTGTTTTGGTCGATACGAAGGTGAAGAAAGTGAACTGTAATACATGCGAGTCCCCGCCGTCGGCGGTGGCGCAGGCGGAGGCTTCGAATTCTCCATCAAAGCCTCTTTGGAAGCACTTGGCGGAGGAATCGCTGCTTGCGGATTTGGATCCCAACGTGGCTTCTAGTTTCAGGCGAGCTTTGTCCGCTAGGCAATTGGGGTTTAATCAGTCTAGAACAGTGAGGCCGGTCGGTTCGTGGGCGAAGGTCTCGCCTTTGTTTGAAAACCGGACTCGGTTGCCAGGGACTGAGGATAGAATTGTGCTGTATTTCACCAGTTTGCGGGGAATCCGAAGGACTTATGAGGATTGTTGTGCTGTTCGAGCGGTCTTCAAGGGGCTCAGAGTTCCGGTGGACGAACGGGATATTTCTATGGACTCGGCGTACAGGATGGAGCTGCAGAGAGTGTTGGGAGAGAAGATCGTGAGCTTGCCCCAGGTTTTTATCAGAGGGAAGTACATTGGAGGGGCTGATGAGATTAAGCAACTTCACGAGGTTGGAGAATTGGTAAAACTGCTTGAAGGATTCCCTAGTCGAGATCCTGGGTTTGTCTGTGAGAGCTGTGGCGATGTGAGGTTCATTCCTTGCTTGAATTGTAATGGTAGTCGTAAAGTTTTCGACGAGGAGGCAGAGCAGTTGCGGAAGTGCCCAGAATGCAACGAGAACGGATTGATTCGATGCCCAAATTGCAGTTCTTGAATGATATAGAGTAATGATCCAGTTTGCAGGACATATAGTTCACTGTTTCTGGAGACTTGTGAAGATCCCATTGAAAAAAAAATTACTGTGTTTTGGGTATCCTTGTTCATCATCTCTCACTCCCTGTATGTAAATTGATTAGCACTTGGGTAGTTGGGTATCCTTGTTTATCATCTTTCTGAACAACACAAAGAAATAAAAGTACTTTTTTTGAGGCTGTATTAATCATCGGGCAGAAATTTGTGAAGCTTTACTTTGTTCAATCTGATTTTATTTTCCATTTCAATGGCAACCTACATTTATTCTGTGATTCTACTGCTGATCAAAATACCAAAATCAGCCCAACAGGGCAAGGTTTTAGTAAGAGATGGAATTCTATCTGTTGTTCAGATGAAGTGTAAGATTTTCCTTCAATTAAAAGAACTTATAATACAAACAAATAAATGAGAGAACACATTTGTCAGGTTTCAATTATACTCCCTGGAGCACATCAGTTGAGGCGAACTTAGAGAGTTAAGAGTAGAAATTGCATTACAGGGATAAGGGCAACAAGGATGGTTGATTCGGGGTTTCATCCCCTGCTGTCTGAAGTTCTCTCTTTTTCCCCACAAACTGAAAACTATTGGCTTAGAGGAACGCATTCTAGCTCAATTTCTATCACTCCCCGTTCGACATTCTGCAGCCTTACTGCGACAACTTGCTTTACCTTTCCATCTTCCACGGTGATAATACTGTCTTTTAGTAAGGTGCTATCCTGGGTTGCTGCCAACTTTCCTAGCTCTATAGATGATTTGTTGGTGGAGCTTTCGCAGGATTTGGCAGCAGAGAGGAGAGGTTGGATGTCTATCTCGGCCTCCCCCATGTGATCGTCCTGTGAGAACGTATCCTTATCAAAGACTTGCTGCAACAAAGGAAACAAACAATGGCATAAAGAAAAACGTTCAGTTCATGCACCTGCTTGATCAAATGTTTTGCATATGTTAGACACCAGAATCTGAAACTAATCAAAAATATATAATGAAATGAACAAGGTTGAAAATACAACATTAAGGCTGCATTTGACATTTCTTAAAATTTTAAGGGCTTATTTCCTTTTTGCAGTTAAAAGCTCAGTGTTCATAAGAGTATTTTAACTGCAAAAAAAGAAAAAGATAAATCATTAAAATAACGGATGCCAAATGTAGCCTAACTTAACTTTTGAAGGTTTAAATCCAACCATTACGTGGGGAGATATAAACAAATATTGATATTGACAATTGTTATTTCAGTCCTCGTGATATCAGGCATCAGTTGAAAATCATGTTTCCTCCCCTCTTTCATTAGTGATAGCCCAAAAATGCCAACTCGGGTGTTCTAGTTAACCTACTGATGGAGATTTAGGATATCGTGATCGTGGCGTGGTTTGAGGTTAGTGGATTCGAATGACAAACTGTAGACTTTGGATCGAAAACAAATCTGTGTCGCTCTCCTGAACTGAGGCTTGGGAAATGGTCAACGGAGTCCTTTAGTTGGAGAAGTCAAAGATTTTGGACTCGTCGAATTTGCACGCCCTGTTGTCTTCAAACGTTCAAAAACCTTCAGATTTGTTGATGTTAGAATGACTTCTTGGAGAAACCTTTATGCGGCTTGTATCTTGGTCGATGTGCGTTATGATGATGCGTAATTTCGCCAATCTGATACGGAGCAACACGTGGCGCATCCAAACCGTTTAGGAGCATATCAGCACTAGGTGCCACGTGTAAATCAACCTGTGGAGGTCGATGTGTCTACAAGGCCGTGAACATCACCTCGGAAAAGGACGATGGCTGACCTTCACTCTCCTTCGACCTAGGTAGCTAGAGACCCGAGCAGTCAGCCAACCTCCGGGGTACCAACCTACATGGCAGATTAGTTTTATTTTGAGTAACGTGCCAATCAGTTATGAGTGGGGCATTAGCAAGACTTCTATTTGATGCGGATCTCAATACTTAGTTCTTCCATCAGGGATTGGAGTCAAAGTAATTCAGAAACTCCATGAGCCATAACCATGTATTTGGTTTCAGCTGAAGATCTAGCAACAACAGATTGTTTATTGTTTCTCAAAGAAACATATACCTGCCACCATACTACAATATCTCGAGTTGACCTCCTATCATCAATGTTGTCTGCCTAGTCAATATCTGTACAGGACTCCAGTTTCATATGACCATGTTTAGCAAAAAGAATCCATTTCCCCAGAGTACTCTTCAAGTAACATAAAATCTGCTATATTGCTGTCATATGTGTATCTCTGGGAGCATGCATGAATTTGCTAATGCAACTAACAACATATGCAACGTTAGGGTGAGTCATACAAAGACATAGAAGTTTCTCTAGTAACCTTTGAAACACTCCCTTGTCCTTCAACAACTCTCCATCAGAGGTAGAAAGTTTGTAACTCATATTAATAGGACTAGCCACTGGTCTTACACCCATTTTGCCTATTTCAGTGAGCAAGTCTAGCACATACTTGTACTAAGAAATAAAGATTCCACCCTTGGACTAAGCCACTTCAATACCAAGGAAATACCTCAACTTCCCTAGGTCTTTGGTCTCAAACTCTGTATGAAGGAAGGATTTAAGATCATCAATCCCTATCACATCAATGTCAATCATTACAATATCATCCATAATTCCATATATGACTAATGAACCTCTCCTCTTCACAAAGAGGGTATGGACAGATTGAGTCTGTGTGTACCCAAAGTTAACAAGAGCAGCCCTAAAACTTTCAAACCAGGCTCTAGGTGACTTTTTGAGCCCATAGAGAGACTTCTTCAGCTTACACAGTTTTCCCCCCATGTCTATGCCATACATCTTTGGTGGGAGGGACATATAAACTTCCTCATATAATTATCTGTTCAATAAGGCATTTTTCACATCCAGCTGATAAAGGGGCCAGTCTAAATGAGCTACCAAAGATAATAGGACCCACACAGATGTCATCTTTGCAATATGAGCAAAAGTTTCTAGATAGTCAATCTCATAAGTTTGTGTATAGTCTTTTGCAACCAATCGAGCTTTGTACCTCTCAATAGAGCCATCAATGTGATATTTGATAGTACACACCCACTTATAATCCATTGGCTCCTTCCCTTCAAGCAAATCAACAACTTCCCATGTGCCATTCTTGTGTAGAGTCTCTATTTTAATTCTCATAGCATCCCTTCATTCTAGAATAGAAAGAGCTTCTAATATAGACTTGGGTATAGGGTTAGAAGCAATAAAGGAAAGAAATGAATAATATGAAGGAGAAAGAAGGCCATAAGAAAGATGTTTGGAAATGCAATGTGTAGTACACTTCCGTTTACCTTTCCTAATGGCAATAGGGACATCAAGGTCTAGGAAGGGAGACTACAAGTGTGTAGTATCAGTACCTGTTGTCTCTTCAGCAACTGGAAGTGAAGGAAACTCATGTGATGTAAAGAAAACAATATGTTCACTCTTGGTCTTTTGCCGCTAGTACCACCTGTGAGTAGAAAGAGGACGACGAGGCAATGGAGGAGGAATAAGAGTAGTAGAGGGATCTGGAGATGATTGTTTCCCCTGGACTCAATAGGAATAGAAGAAAATTCAAGTAAAGACTCAACAGGAACAGGAAAGGGGAGTGCAAACAACTGTGACATATACTCCCCTTGTGAACAATGCTCCCCCTAAGATGAACCATAAAAAGAAGTGGACTCAGCAAAAGTAATATCCGTTGAAATGTAATGAGTCCTAGTGCTAGGATAAAAACAACAATAACATTTTTGTGTGGAGGCATAACCAAGAAATATGCACTTATGGGCCTTTGGTTCAAATTTATGACTCTAGGTACTAGAAAAGCATACATAACAAGTGTAGCTGAAGACACGAATCTAGATAAAGAATGTTAAAATGAGACTTAAAGCCCAAAAGTCTAGATGGAATACGATTAATTAGGTAGGTTGTAGTGAAAACAAAATCTCCCTAGAATCTTGTAAGAACATGTGAGGCAACCAAAATGTTTCTTGCAACTTCAACTATGTAATGTTTCTTCTTCTCAGATACTTCATTTTGTTCTGGAGTATCAATACAAGAGCTTTGGTGGATGATCCCAAACTCAGTGGGATAAGAGGTTAGTTTTTTTTTCAAAGTATTCTTTTGCATTATCATATCTAAAAATCTTTATTCTTGTATTAAACTAGGTAAAAATATATTCATAGAATTGCCTCACAAGCTTGGGAACTTTATCACGAGATATCATAAAAATTAACTAAGTATCGAGAAAATTTGTCAATGAACAAGATAAAGTATCGGTAACCACCCATAGAGGTAAGTGGTATGGCCCCCCCACATCAGAATGCATAATATGAAAAGGAAATGAGGACCTCTTATTATTTAAAGGATAACTGCTTTTACAATGTTTTAATAACTCACAAGACTCACAGTGAAGACTAGACAAGTTAATTCCCTTAAATAATTTTGGGAATAAATAACTCAAAGCAGAAAAGGATAAATGACCCAAACAAAAATGACATGACATGACACGGCTAAAAGACTCTTAAGAAATAAACTAAAAAACAACTCTTCTAGGTTTTCTTTGGTTTTGTTTAGGAGCATCTAACAGATATATTCCATTCGCCTCATGGCCACTCCCAATCACTTTCTAAGACTTTAGGTTCTGAAAAACACAATAAGAAGGGAAAAGGTTACACTGCAGTTTAAGCATTTAGTTAGGCTATTCACAGACATCAAATTAGTATGCAGTCTAGGGACATGAAGGATAGAAAAAAGAGAGGGAGTATGTGGCCTTGATGACTCCCTTGCCAGAGATAGGAGAAAGAGAGCCATCGGCTAGGGTAATCTTATTATGGCCAGAGAACAAATCATTAGAGCTAAACAGAGTGGAAATGCTAGTCATATGATCAGAAGCACCATAATAAAAAATCCAGGGATCCTATGATTACTTGTGATGATTGCATGATTGGTAGTAGCACGTATACCTAAATGAGCAAATGCAGATGTAGTTGGATTTCCTGAAGAGTTAACTGCTCACTAGCAGCCCTTTCATTTGTTGAACACCTGTCATTATTTGAAATTGTAGCTATATTGGCACTTCTTGTCTTCCCATTGTCAACCTTCTTTTGAAAATGAGGTGGAATAAGGTCTGGATGCAGCTTCCAACATTTATCTTTTGTATGTCTGGGTTTCTTACGTTACTCACATATAACCTCCTTCTTCCCTGAACCACTCGTAGTCATCTTAGGTTTCAACCCCATATTAGCAAAATGGTCACCTGGAATAGTCCCTTGAACCTGGACCAACCTCCTGCTCTCTTCACTACTCACCATGGCATAAGCCTGAGACAAAGATACATTATCCTTATCTAGGATATTCTGTATCAAACTCTGGAATCAACCCTATCAGGAATTCAAAAACCCTATTCCTCTCAACTAATTTTATGTATGTCTCAGCATCATTTGTACTTTCCCAAACAATTGTTTCCATGGGATCTATCTCTTACCACAAAGATTTCAGCATTAAGAAGTATATTGCTAAATGTCTCTCCTCCTGTCTTAGATTATTCATATAACTTCTTAACTTATATGCCCTGGCCACATTCGGTTTTATGAATAGGTTTCAACAACACTATCCCATATTTTCTTAGATGAATTCATCCACAAAAAGTGCTGACTAATTTATGGTGACCATGCTATAAACATGTATCTTTATTGATTGTGACCATGCAAGATAGTTAGTCCCATCAAGTGCTGACTAATTTGTGGTCACAACCAATAAAGAGTCTATGGGTGCTCCCAGAACTTGTCTGGACTCTGAGCCGAATTTATTCTCAACTCCAGAGACATCCATCTCCCTCAAACAACTTCAAACAACTTCAAATGATAAATAAGGAAGACAAAA